TAGCATTTTTATTATAAATTGTATTGATTATTTGGAGATCGTGAGATGCGGTCTGGTGTGACTTTGTTTTTAGTAAAACATTTTCATTATCGTGCCAACGTTTCGATCTTTATTGAGATCATCTTCAGGGCCTGGGATTTATAAACATTGTTAAAATATACAAATATATGTAGGATGTTAAAAAGGGAATTTATACAATCCTGGAAATATTCGACTCAATCAAAGCATTTTTGGGACTAGAAGTATCAGTAAAAAGCCTGGTAGTGGATCTCAGCGCATTACGACGAAAAGGGAGGACAGAAATATTGTCATTGCTGCAAGACCCTTTCAATACTGCCAATAAATGAAGTATAAGATATTTCGGCAACGCTTTTATCAACACAAACGAATCATAATGCTGCGATGTTTACTGATGAAACACGTTTCTCTCTGTGACTTCCTGTTTCTTCTGTTATCACTATAAAGAAAGAAACACGACTAACAACACTAACCATCCCTAAACTCATTTATGATACGACCGGCAGTATTGAAAGGGTTTCGTCTTGCAGCAATGACAATATTTCTGTCCTCCCTTTGCGTCGTAATGCGTTGAGATCCCCTACCAGGCCTTCTATTTGGCACTTCCAGTCTCTGATAAACGCTAATTGCCTCTGCGATATCCACTTGCCGACGACCTCGATGACTCTCAAATTAATATAGCGAACTTCTGGTTCACGATGACTTTCCATAGTTAAAAAGATTACAACTGGATGTAATGAAGGTACATGGTATCTTTTATTCTGACACTGCCGAATGGGACAGTAATAAAAAATAATCATTTAGAAATCGTGAGATGTGGTCTGGTGTGATGTAGGTTTCAGAAAAACATTTTCTTTATCGTGCCAACGTTTCGATCTTTATTGAGATCATCTTCAGAGCTCAGTGTTTGTTTTCTCTGTAATTGTGCCATTCTTGCGTGTCGTGTCGAGAGTGCCCTAATCACCACACATAAAAAATAATATTCAGCAGATCCTTGCTGCGCAGTGGACAAAATACAAATAAAACAAAATCCGAATTACAAAAATCATTACATTCCTTTCTAAAAAATAAACAAATTCAATTTTTGGAAATAAATTATAAAAAAAATCTCAATCAAAATAATCATACAAAAAATAATTAAAATATTTTCTTTTGCCAACCTGTAAACGTTAAATTATACGAAGTAGACGCTACGACTGTCTTCAAGCTAATGCTCACTATGGCGAAAGGAGCGCTAGTTTTTCTTACTATTTGTTTGGCAAATGAACTATTTACATTTTTATATAATACAAATCGACATAACAAAATTTTCTTGACTCAATAATTTAAACAAATACAAAATAAGAATTTTTTAAAATAAATTATTGTTTGTTTGAAAATAAAATCACATTTGCTTCATGTTTAATAATAATTTAACTTGAAAATTACAACATGAAAAAAGGTAAACAAAATGTCAATTAAATAAAAATTGTCGTGATTTTCTTGACATGGATTAAAATTGAGAAAAGACTAAGAAAGGTGTTTATTTACAAAAAGAGTAATCTTCATGTTTACTATTCTTAAGTAAATCCGTTATTAAAAATAAGAATTAACAATTTTTTTAAATTTGTATTTTCTATTGGGTAAAGCCCGGGATATGCGCTCTGATAAACGGCATTACCTCCGAGATATTGCCAGATATTTCGATGACTCATTCTCACTATAATATTGCGAATTTCTGCGTCAAGATGTCTTTTCATTGTTAGAGTGAATAAAACTGGGTTAAAATGGAGAAAAGATGAGAACAGGTGTTTGTCAAAAAATGACTAATCTTCGTTTTACTATTTTTAAGTACTTAATTTTTTATTTGTTTTTGGTATGTATTTTCCATTTTTTATTATTTTATTACTAACAAGGATATAATCGGTTCATTTAATTAAAATTAATAGAATAAAAATAAATTTCAAATATCCCTATTCATTTTTGCGCAGTTTAAAAGCACGGATTAACGGCCAACACGGCGCTTCTCTATGCTAAACCTGCCTAACCTATCCGTCATGCGGGGTTTCAATCATTTCAAGAGCCTTCCTAAATAGAAATTTTGTACATATTTAATACGAAGTTTTGTAGTATTAAGGAGTGTAAATAAAATATTTAGTGGGGATTCAAATTTCTTGTGATCCACTACCAGGCATCCTATTGGCACTTCCAGTCTCGCGGAATCGTGCTAAAGCCGAGGAGACCACGGTCTGAGCATCGCTAACTCTGTGATATCCACTTTCCGGTGGTCTCCGTAACTCATTTTCACAATAATATATCGAACATCTGGTTCAAGATGATTTCTTTCCATGGTTAAAGATAATAATACTGGATTAAAATTGAGAAAAGACGAGAAAGGGCGTTTTTTTTACAAAATGTTTAATTCTAGTTGACGTTGATCGACCTACGTAGTTTAAACTGATGTTGTATTGGATCTTCTTGAGGTAATTTTACAGGTGAAAAAAGAACATCATTAACTGGGTTTCACCAAGCTTTCGGCGAATGTTCCGCCATCTTCAGGGCCTAATTTATTAAAACCAAATTTCCATGAACAGAGTTACATAACACATCTTATATAAATACATTACAAAATACAATTACGTACTTAACCCAGTTGTTAGGAAAATTAAATTTATTGCTCATTTTTCCCCCCCAAAGTAAGGACCGATGAGTGTCTCTAGACTTTACGCAAGACTGTTTTTTGTTTTTAGTATATAGATTCAGTTTCACCTTCACTTAAAAAAAAAAAAAAAAAAAAAAAAAAAAAAAAAAAAAAAAAAAACATGTGCAATAAATTTAATTTTCCTAACAACTGAGTAAAGTACGTAATTGTATTTTGTAATGTATTTATATAAGATGTGTTATGAAACTCTGTTCTTGTAAATTTTGTTTTTAATAAATTAGGCTCTGAAGATGGCCGAACATTTGCCAAAAGCTTGGTGAAACCCAATTAATGATGTTCTTTATTCACCTGTAAAATTACCTCAAGAAGATCCAATACAACATCAAATGTTTAATTCTTAAGTAAATCCGTAAATAAGGATTAACATTTGTTCGTTTTAAGTTTTCTATTTTGTTTTTTCCAACTAAGAAGAATATATCGGTCGATTTAATTAATAATTATAGAATAACAATAAATTACAAAATCCCTATTCATTTTTGAGCGTTTACATAAGTATATTATTTGTTATTAAATAATACTCATTGAATTTACTATTTTTCGTGGTCCGCTTGATCAATTAATATCTTTGAATTAATTAAGGTTGAAATAAAAAAGTCATTGTCACGAGCGGGATTCGAACCCATGACCTTCGGCTAGTTACGCCGCTACATTACCACTTGAGCTATCCTGACCTCTATCTACTTGGATACCAACTTCCCATCTCAACCCCACCTTTTGAATATTCCCTCCTTTTTGCCGTTTTTCAAATGTCGTGTAATATATTTGATTCTCGGCGACAAACGAAATGGCCACGGAGAGCTTTTGTGAAGGTTTAAATAATAGAACAACCAAAAATCTAAATTAGCACTAAAATCAAAACGTTCGGCACATACATACTAACTCAAACGTGTTTTGATGAACGCCAAGTTTTTGGATCTGCCAAATATTTCAACATTCGAAGATTACAAAGTTTTCAATAAAATATTTTCAGACTAATTGTTTCTGCCCCTTCTTATGTAAACAACAACACACTTCACGAAGAATTTCACAAATCAACTGTTTTTTATTTGTTCTTTATCAATCAAAAACTCCTAGAGACTTTTTGCGGGAAGCTGCAAGATCGTACAAATACAATTTTTCCATGCCAGACAATTATTAGATGTCAGAAAAGAATATGGATCAGTGACCTCTCTTAAATGATTAGTTCAGAACGGCTCCCTATGGGTAATTTCCTTTATTAAACCGATTAATATCACATGTCAAAATTAAATCCAATCCGCAAGTTGTGTATGTACATGTACAGTACATAAATATATGTACATAAATAAAGTAAAAAAAAGGTATTTCTATGAGACTGGGTAGCGACCGTTTTTCAGACAACAGCTGGTTTTAACGCCACTTATGCTCGAGTCTGGCTGTAATTTAATTTTAATACGCTTTTGTTTTTTATGAGACGAGAGTGTACGTTCTGTTTAAACATCAAAATCTAAAATTTTACAATATTTCAAGAATTTAGTTGTTCAACGATATGCCAAAATTTGCCTTTTTTCCAAATCTATTGTCTATTGCTATTTTTTTAAACAATTTTTTCCCAATATATCATTTATTCTCGGATAGTTTTGTTAAAAATAGTGATAAACTTCAATTTGGTATAAACAAAGTTGAAACAAAATTTTTTTTTCAGGTCATGGGTGTTTTTTCATATCTTTTTTGCGAACTTATTGTATATTGTTTTTCTACAAAATAATGAAATTATGGTGGGTAAGGTTGTATCAAAATATGAAACACTACAAATTTTCATAAAAAGCGAATTTAGACCATAAAAACACATAGATTTCTCTTCCAGTTGTAGGTTAATAGGCGACGTTTTAGTTTAAAAAATATTCCTGACAGAAATTTGACGTAACGGCGAGGGAGTTCAAACAGCCTAAGAGATGGCGAATAGGAGGTCAATCAAAGCAGGATAAACCAGAATACTTGATTCGCAACTTTCAATAAGTTATTTGAAGCACTTCCAAAGCTCGGAACATCATGGGGCCGGTTTCGTTCTGAATATACAACCCTATTTATCGAAAGCTTTGCCGTAATAATTGAATTTTCTTTTTCGTCAACATCATACCGTGATCCGGATTATTTGTGAGGTTGAGTTGTGGGGAAAGGGCCAGAAACTCCATGGACGATAGTGGGACTCGAACCCAACACCGAGAGGATTTGAAATTAATTATTGAACTTGCACCTAGAACTCAATTTTATAAAAAAAAACCTTTGTAACCAAGAAAAAATGACAATAATGAACACATTATATAAATTTAAAGAAAAAAATCGAAATGAAACAGTTGATTCCAGAATATTTCAGATACTTATTAAGAAATTAAATAATTCATATAAAGACAGAGATATTTTAGCATCTCATTTGTATAAAAAACAGATGGCAAGATAGTTTGGGCTAAAAATGTGTTTGCGGAAATTGCTTTCTTCTGATACTAGATGATGACTTTGTAGAAACTGAGGCAATAGTGTCCAAAGCGGAGGGAAGTATTGAGAAATGACTATAAAAGAAATTCTGTAGATGCTGAATGTAAACAGCTGAACAAACGCGCCGGCGAAAGGTGAATCTATAAAGCTTTCTGGAAAAAAACGAGAGGATGCTCGATTGCGTCCCTTAGTCTATCGTCGACTAGTGATTCGCTTTCATACTTCTCACGCAAAGGGATTTCCCTCTCGTCAGACTCGAGATAAAAATCCTCTCCCGCTTTCATAGCCGTGGGAACAAAAGGTTAAACAGACATCGGCCAAAAAGAAAAACCATATGTGTCACATTTTATTAATTCCGGTTTCCAAGGCCAAAATTCGAAGTCGCACCAGCTCCGATCACCGAGTCTGCCAACGCCGCCAGCCAGGATGCGCAGAAAGTCGTCCCCCAGGAGGAGCGTGGATACGTCGTTGCATAAGGGCCCGCTCAACCCGAAGGAGTCCAGGGATCGCATCAACGAGATGATCAAGCATATCGAGCTCGTCATAGAAAAACGACTCGCACAGCTGGAGGCCGAAGAGGAAAGTGCCATCGAAAAGTGCAGAGCCGAGGTAAATCAGTTGCAATTGAGCCTTAAATTATTTTTCATCTTCAACGAACCAATTCTTTTTTACGACCTTTCTGGAACCGCGTTCTTTCGTCGTCGTCGATTTTGAGACTCGTGCAATAAATTCAACAAACAGCAACAAAAAAAACTACAACTTGGAATTTGAACAGCACTAGATTCTTTTTTTTAAACATGTGTTAATTAATTCATATCAATCTATAGGGTGTACGAAGGATATGTTTTAACTGTTCCCTGGCATGTTATTTTATGCGGACAACATTACCTTTTTTTGTTAGTCCTCTTGTTTTGGATTCGGGTTGTGGTCTTCAAACATACAATGTTTTTTATATCAACGCCAAGCTATCGACAAGTTTTATTGCCTTCTTCAGGGGATCTACAGAGACATAGGGACATAATCATTTAAATAGTTATGAATTACTGTAAATTACAATAATTGTTCTTATTGTAATTTACAAAGTCATAACTTAAACACATTACACATTTCACGATATGTATATGTACAAACTATATACATATATAATAAATAAATAAAAACCTCTTCTTAATAGCCTCTTACATATATATGCATTTTTTAAAACAGTAACAATTACTTAACAATTGGTATTCTTTAGGTACATAAATATCACAGGCGTTTGACTAGAAAATTGTGTTTATCACTTTATCAGGTGGGAGGTTCCCCACACTATCACCTACTGATAACAATCATTTTCCACAATTTTTAAAACAAGATCTTAATTTCTAGTACATTGGTAATTCTATGTTATCACAGCCTATTATAATAAATAAATAAATGAATGAATAAATAAATAAATATGTATGCAAGTATTGCTACGATCTTTGGGGAGAGACCTTGTCTTTTTCTAGAAGCTCACTGTATATCACACTCAAATTATTCAAATCTGTTTTTAAATTACAACCCATGTTATCCTGATGAAAAAATATCATTTCTCTCAAAAGTCTACGACCTGTATTTTGTTCTGAAGCCACAATTTTGACTCCATCGAAGTCAAAATTATGTTTAGAACAGCACTATCCAAACATACACATACTACTAAACATAATTTTGATGATAAACACAACGTGATAAACACAATTTTCTAGTTAAACGCCTGTGATATTTATGTACCTAAAGAATACCAATTGTTAAGTAATTGTTACTGTTTTAAGAAAATGCATATATATGTAAGAGGCTATAAAGAAGAGGTTTTTATTTATTTATTTACTATATATGTATATAGAACAATGTATATATACATATCGTGAAATGTGTAATGTGCTTAAGTTATGACTTTGAATCTGTATATTGTAATTTATAGTAATTTATAACTATTTAAATGATTCTGTCCCTATGTCTCTGTAGATCCACTGAAGAAGGCAATAAAACTTGTCGAAAGCTTGGGCGTTGATATAGAAAACATTGTATGTTGGAAGACCACAACCCGAATCCTAATCAACATCGTATTAAAGGCTGGTGGATCGCATAACAAGTATTTCTCTTGTTTTATTCTATACATTGATATGATTTTTAATTTTTTTTATTTAGAGCAGGTAATTACGCTATAAAACGCCGCCAGTTAACTTCAGCTTTCTTGATTATTTTAAAAAGTAAAATAATTCCTGTCATATGGAAAGGCTTAATGTCCAATTACCAATTATCACAAAGCGTCATTACCACATTCAAGTTGTTTTAAATATTATGATCAACCCCATTAGAGTTCGTGGTCCGATTGACCAATTAACGTTTTTTCAATTAATTGATATTTATGTAAGGTATTGGTTGAGATAAAAAAGTCATGAGTTCGATATACTCGGACACCAACTTCCCATCTAAACCCACATTTTGAATTTGAAAAATGGCAAAAGGAGGGAAAATTCAAAAGTCGAAGTCACGGCATCTCAAGTGGGGGAGCAGCGGCGGATTTAGCCGAAGGTCGTGGGTTCGAATCCCGCTCGTGACACTAACTTTTTTATCTCAACCTATACCCTTTGTTCCCAAAAATACGATTCCTCTCTCCAAAATGTTGGAAGGGTTTTAGGTTTTTAAAAAATTACTCAGAAATCGTGAGATGCGGTGGAATTTTTCAAAAAATTAAATTAGAGATGTACTCCGGACTTACAATTTAAAGCCGTATTGCTCCCATCTTGTCCAGGGACTTCGGGACTCTGATTATGACGTGATTTCGATCCACTCGGACACCAACTTCCCACCTCAACCGACATTTCGAATTTTCCCTTACTTAACGACGAACATAAAAAAAAGCCATGGATATGCTGGGATTCGATCCGAGAACCACTAACTAGTGCACGTTGGACGTCCCAACATTTGGCTTAATTTTGCACTTTTTACCAGTATTTCCTATATGGGCGGGGAGTCAAGGGTTTCAAGTTTTTCTCCTCTGCAACTAATGCAAGGCTACGGTGAAACCTCTATGATTATAATCATACCGTGGGAAATGTTTGAAAAAAAAAAAAACTTTTATACTTACCTTAAGGAAGTAGCTAGTACTTCACATCAACAAAGGTATGTGTTCAAGTCTCTGGTTTCTCTAGATAATGCCTTCTGTATCTGCTTTTACCACCTTTTTCCAGTGGTATTTAAGAGCCACGTGCAGTATAGAAAGCTTAAAATTTTCCTCAAATATTTTCTGGTTAGAGGGGAGAGTGCCTTTGTCTGCCTTTTTCATTTAACGTCTCTCAACTTGACTCATACCTAGTGCTTTCGCCCAGTGCTTGAGTTTTCTTTCTAAAGCCATTTTCTCAAGTCCATATTTTACTTACTTTCTGGTTTGACTAGGTGTAGTTCCGGTCTCGGGGGTGAGAGGGCTTCTCTTGGCCATGTGGCCAACCAGACCATTTCCTTCTAAAACTTCATGTCTGGTACTAAACTAAAATTGTCCTGCTTTCCTAGGGCAGTTAGACAAGTTAAGCATTCCCAGTCTAGTTCGGATTTAAATGTATACGTATTTAATGCCTGACTGTATTCGCCCTCCTTTTGCAAGGACCTCAGCATGCAAGACGACGAGACCAATCCAAGGGGTTTGCCATTTGGATATTTCGGTTCCTCTACTCCTTATCTAATTTCTGTATCTTGGGGTTGTTTTTCTTCTCCAAGTATTTACTACTTGAAACCATAGAAGTGGCGACAGTACTTCTCTTTGGGTAGTTGCTAGTCAGAAGACCAAGTTCAGCGCGTATTATCCGAATTTAGCATTGCTAATATCCAGTTGATAGTCGGATGGTGTCTATACTCTTTCCTTGTACTCTATACAAGGTATTATTAAAAGGTTCTTATATTGCCATGAAGCAACAGAGCTGTGATTCTTTATTCTGTATTATTTGAGATAAATCTTGCTGGTCATAGAGGGTTATTTTACAAGATGATCATAATTACTCATTGGCGTAACCTATGACCTGATATCCTCGGCTGTCAAGGGTGAGTAAGCCATGTAATACGCAACCATAAATGGGAGATAGGGAGATCTGTTCGTCTGATCATTGCTTATTATTCTCCTTCTTAGCCCTACTAATATCCAGCAGTGTCAGGTATGACGTTTCTCAAAACTCGCTTACTGAGAGAGAGAAGGGTATCTTCGTCTTTCTTTTTAAAATATCTTAAACCTCATATGTGATAGTTTACTCAGTGATTGACTTTATCTTTGTACCTTTACGATTATTACCAGGTCATATATGTAACCTTTGGTCTTGTATCCTAACTACTCACACATGTGGCGATAGTTGCCTTATCAAATAGTAGGTGATATGTGGAAATTCTGATGAGCAAGTTTAGGACTTGTTAATCTACATCTCAGCTTAATCCATATTTGTTTAGTAGCCTTAATTCACCATATTCATTATTCCAATTAATTATTCTTTCACCTAAGGTTTTTGGTTCAGATGAAAAATTAGCTTTCAGGCTACTTCTTACCTTTGCAAAAATAACAGTGGCAACATTTTCCTCAAATCTTGCCTACTAAGAGAAAGGAGGATCTTTGCCGTTCCATTCGAGAGATTTATAACTTAGCTTGCTCATACATGGTTCTTTACGCAATGACTGACTGTAATTTGTTTATTATAATCCTATGGTATGGTATCCTAATATGTTCAACTCTGCCATAGGTCGTGAGGTTCCTGCATACTCGGTCATCCTAAAAAGAACTCTGAGGATCTTTAACGTCCGCACCTTGCCTATTCGGCCTTACCGGACGTTTTGATTCTTAAGATGAGAACTGACCCACCTCCGCAAATGACAGGATGGTGTTACTGCCGCAGGATTGGTGTAGAGGCAGCTCAGCCCCGAAGGGCCAAGACAACCTCGCTCCCCGCTTGCCCATTCCGAATGGTCAGGTCTCATTAAGCATCAGACCGTATGCCGTGCGCAAAGGGCTACCTATGCCGAAATACGTCAGCCCGTTCTCCCGCGCACTTCCTAGATAGTGAAGGCAACTCTATCTCCCAAAGTATTGGGGCTTCTTTAGTGTCAAAACTTCCGGATCCGTTCCGGCTGCGGTTTCGTTTAAAGTGGAAGTTCTAACCACCCCTTAGAGGTGTACCGCCTACGGTAAATCATCCTATCGAGCTCAGCCTACACCTAGGTGCAAAGCATACTCGAGTAGGAGCAACCGATTCACTATCCGTTCCCATCCGCCACTACTCATGCATTCGAGGGGCCATCCCTCACAATCATCGCGTCCTCAACGCCTATATGCTGATGTCCGATCCGCAGTATCCCGTGAGGCCGGGTGGTCATACGCAAGTTTCGTGCGAAGGTCACAGGTAGAAGACAGCCTCTTCTCTAAGTTCCCGCCAGGGGCGTCACCACGTACCACTACGTTCCCAGCATAACAGGGGCTGGATTTTGGAACATTTCTGTACCTCGTAGTTCTGATGGTTATGCACCCTCCCCCGTCTGTGCAGACAGGATCTGGTACCCTAACCCTCGTGTGCCTCAGATAAGGCAACCGCCGCCCATGCTGTCCCGAGGCC